TGGTGGATGGATGGATGGATGGTTGGATGGATGGATGGATAGATGAATGGATGGATTGTTTACAGTTTCTTTTCCTTGTGTCCCACGATTACAGCTCTGATGTCATGGTTTTTCCTCCTCCTGGACTCACTCAGAGCTCCGGATCCTATTGGACAGCTCCATCAGGGCTGTAGGGGTCTCTAAACCAACATCATCCCAACTGGACCCACCTGCCTCCTTCCTGCCCCAAACTGAGCCTTCTCCTAATTGATTTTACCATGGAGTTTATGTCATCGACCTCATCCAGTGGCCAGAGCCGGGGACCTCAGGGTCATTCTTATCCTTCTTACCCCTGACCATGCAATTCAGCTGGACATCTTTGATTTAGCTGCGAGTCCTTTATCCCTCTTCATCCCCCTTTCTCCATCTTTCCCTGTGCCACGGTTCCCCCACCCCAAAGTGCTGTTTCCGCACTCTGAAGTCACCACTGAATACCATATACCATCACAACAACGGGAGCATGTAACATGTCTGCAACGTGCCATCTTCATGTAATGTTGCATCTTGTTGAGTGAGTACACCTATGCCTGACTCAGCATAGGGGTGTACTGTCTGGCTTACTCAGCACCCTGTATGTGTGCATTGGGCTGCCTCCAATTCTCATAATTAATGCTGCCAGAAGCATTCATTGCACAGGTACCTTGTATTCCTGAAGGAAACATATATGTTCAATATATTATACACATAATATGTGTATGTGCTGCACACACATATATAAATATATGTATGTGTACATACCTATGTGCAATATAATTTGTACATATTCCTTTGTATATCTGTGGGGAAAAATTCTATGGGATGAATTACCAGCAGTGGAATTGCTGAATCAAAGAGAATGTGGGCACATTAAAAATGGTAATTAGGGGCGCCTGGGTGGCTCAGTCATTGGGCGTCTGCCTTCGGCCGGCTCAGGTCATGATCCCAGGGTCAGGGGATGGAGCCCCTCATCGGGCTTCCTGCTGAGCTGGGAGCCTGCTTCTCCCTCCCACTCCCCCTGCTTGTGTTCCCTCTCTAGCTGTCTCTCTCTCTCTGTCAAATAAATAAATAAAATCTTAAAAAAAATTTTTTTTAAATGGTAATTATTATAGACCCTGTTGAATTTCCTTTCTAACATCAGGGTAATTAACACACCCAACACCAGCAGAGGAGAGAGTGAGTTTCCTGTACTGCCTCCAGCTCATGGTGTGGCTACCCTAAAGACAACAGAATACTCTTTTCTTTTTATGTTGCTGCTTTAGAACGAGTCAGGCACTTGTTGAGTTAAAAGTTCTGGGACAGATGGGGAACTTTCTAAGAAGAGAATGAGTTGCATTGGGTGGATTTCGTAAATAGGGTAACGTTCATGGGAAACCACTGGACGTGTCTTTGCTGAGGATGGATGAGGGATTAACTAAGTGACCCTTAAGACCTTGGCTTCGGACCAGACCAGAGGATTAATGTGGCAGCGCTCTCTCCAGTGTTCATTAGGGTGGCGGCTACGCCACCTGGTGGAAAGGAGTTGTTTTGAGTAAAGGTTTCAGAGGCATGGATTTATGAGGTAGAGGGATGGAGAGAGGGATGGATGGCTGGGTGTCTAGTTTGTTTGACGGGGGGATGGAGAAGTGGGTGAGTGGCGGATGGTGCAGGAGTGGATAGATGGGTGGATGGATGGATAGATGGGTAGATTTGTGGATGGTGGGTGGGTGGAGGGGGCATGGAGGGATTGAGTAGGTAGGCGAGGGGGGTGAATGAATATACACATGCATGGATGGGGAAAAGGATGAATAGCTGGATAAATGGATGAATACATAGGGGGTTGGATAGATGGGTAGACGGAGGGAGATAGATAGTAGATGGATAAGTGGATGCATAGGTATTCATATATGCATACATTTATAGATCTACACATTTACATCCTCAAGCACTTTCCTTGTAGGAACAGATTAATGGAATCTCCGAATCTGGGTCAAAGTGAAAGATGTCAGTGGAGGGGAGGAGGTTTCTAGCTTGGAGAGAAGTAATCTAGAGGGAAGCCAGAATTGGATTGGTTCTGCATTTAGACCAGTTGGCTGGTCTCAGTTCTAGTGGTGCCTCCTTGAATGCCTACATTTGGAAAGGGACCGGGTCCCTCTCGGTGTCAGCCCTAATCAGTTAAATGAAGATGAGGTCATGGTAGACTACAGACAGCTCTAACCCAGCATGACTGGTGTCCTAGTGAGAGGTGGAGACAGAGAGAGACACACACGGAGGGAAGGTGTTTGTGTGGTGACGGACATTGGAATGATGGGGCCACAAGCAAGGAACAGCAAGGATTTCGGGCAACCACCAGGAGCTGGGAGAGAAGCTTGGAGCAAACCTGTTTTTAGAGCTCTCCAAGGAACCAACCCTGCTGACACCTTGATTTCAGACTTCTGGTCTCCAGAACTAGAGAGGATGAATTTCTGTTATTCAAGTCCTCCCCTCCACATGCACCATATGTGATAAATACGTGATAGACACATTTTAAAACATTTCACAGTTTCTGTTAACTCTGGAGTCCAGGTATGAGATAACTGGGTCTCTGCTCAGGGACTCACCAGGCTGAAAGCAAGGCGTCGGCAAGCAGTAAGGGGGGGGGTCTCCTTTGAGACTTAGGGCTCTCTTACAAGCTAACTGGTTGTTAGCAGAATTCAGTTCTCTGAGAGTGAAGCAGTGACACCTTCACCTCCTAGGGGCCACCCACTAATTCCTGCCAAATGCTCTTCTCCATAAGGCAGTTTGCTTCTTATTCCAGGCAACCAGGCTGTATGTCTGCTGCCTCAAACCTTGTGCCCTTCTTAATTCTGACTCCTACACCTGACTAGGCCAGGCCCACCCAGGATTAATTTTCCTTTCATTAGGTTGAATGACCTGATTCTGGACTTTGATTTCGACGGCAGAATTCCTTCATCTTTGCCACAGAATCCGGGGAGCGAATCCCATCATCCTCCCAGCCTTCATTCATACTCTGTGAGAGTGATTTATACAGCTATGCCCAGGCCATACTAGATTAGGGCTGCAGATATTAGGGACTCTGTTTTCCTATTTTTGAGATGCATCCAGAAGAGGAATACCTTGCTCAAACGTGTAAAAGGATTTTCCTTGAGCGTTTTTGAAATTATTATGACCACCTCTTAGATGTGCAGGTTCTGAAAGAGTATCTCATTACTTTGCTTTGCAAATGCTTCAGACCAGCGGAGTGGAAAAACAGTTTCCAAATTTAACAGTTCCCCAGGGAAACGCGCCATCGCCTTGCAAGCAGCCTTGGGGACAGGGTTTTAATGAGAACCCCCAAAACCTCCCTGTTTCCAAGACAAAGGAGAAGTTAAATAAAGATGGCAATGAGGCACATCCTACCAAGACGCCTGCCTGGGTTCAAAGAGTGGTCCCATTCCTGAGACACCCCAGACTGCTCCCTCCTTGTCAGGAGCTCATGATCATATTTGCTTTGATGGGTGGTTTATTAACAGGACAACGTGACTCACACATAGAAGACACTCAGACAACATGACTCATACATAGCAGGCACCCAGATACCCAGCAGCCCCACGTGACACCAGGGTCCCCTCACCCACTCCTGCCCCCTCTGAAGTTAATGTTTTGGCACCTTTTGTTGAACAACACAGGATTTGTGTTCTGCCACCCTGGATTTTCACTTTGCAGACTTGTGACATACTTTTTTTTTTTTTTTAAGATTTTATTTATTTCCTTGAGAGAGAAAGTGCTAGAGTGCGTGAGGAGGGGGGAGGAGCAGAGGGAGAGGAAAGACGGAGAGGGACAAGCAGATGCCCGTTTGAGCCTGGGGGTGGGGGCTCGATCCTATGACTCTGAGATCATGACACCAGCCGAAATCAAGAGTCCCCGAGATCATGACACCAGCTGAAATCAAGGGTCCCTGAGATCATGAGACCCGCCGAAATCAAGAGTCCCTGAGATCAAGACACCAGCTGAAATCAAGAGTCCCTGAGATTACGACACCTGCTGAAATCAAGAATCTGAGGCTTAACCGACTGAGCCGCCAGGCGCCCCTGGAGTTATATTTGGGGCATCAGAAACACATGCCTTATGCAGCATCTGCCATAATGTGGGAGCTTAGTAAATTGTAACATGCCAATTTATAATTATGTTATGTAACTATACGTATCTTATTTAAAAACTATTATTACATATTACATGTAAAACGTATTTTATGTGGTTACTTACGTTTTATGCATTTTAAAATTAACGATATCGGGGCGCCTGGCTGGCTCAGTCGTTAAGCGTCTGCCTTCGGCTCAGGTCGTGGTCCCAGGGTCCTGGGATCGAGCCCCGCATCGGGCTCCCTGCTCGGCGGGAAGCCTGCTTCTCCCTCTCCCACTCCCCCCTGCTTGTGCTCCCTCTCTCGTTGTGTCTCTCTCTGTCAAATAAATGAATAAAACGTTTAAAAAAATAAAAACTAAAATTAACGACATCAAAATAAGAGACGTAAAACTGTTAAAGTATGAAGATGTGGCGTCTTTATGTTGTTGCATATTTTTAGGGCAGTATATAGTATATTTAATTATATTCCACCATCAGTATACGTAGTAAAAGTAACTAGTAGTAAATAAATGGTTAATAGTTCAACCGTACGGCTACGTTGTATGTGGTGTGTGAGCATAACAGTAATGGAGGCGGACGCACAGGCCCCGCACCTGTTTGGCTTAGGGCGGCCAGGGCACCACGCGGCCCCAGGTGAGGCCGCCTGGACCCCAGGCACAGGTGGCAGCGGCGGGGTGGGTGGGACTTGCGCACGCGCAGTGCAAAGCCCGGGCCGGCCCGCCCCACCCCCCGCCCACTCGGAGGCCTCCCGGAAGTCCCGCCTAGGGGCGGGGCCAGACCCGGCCGACGAAACAGGGGACCGCCGCGCGGCCGCTTCCGCGAGCACGAGCGCCGGAAGCGGAAATGCGTCACAGGGGCGGGCGGCGGCGACGGCGGGTGGCGTCGGGGGCGCCTCCGGCGGACCGTGGCGGCGCCGGGCGGAGAGGCCGCGGCTGCCGGGGTCGTTGGGGGACGGCGGCGAGCTCGGGCCTGAGCGGCGGTGGCCGGGGGCGCAGGCGGAGCCCCGCGCCGGTGAGCGACACCCCGCGACCAGCCCCCTCCGCGAAGCGGGCGGGGGGCCCCGGGGCCCGGGGGCTGCGAGGGCCGGAGACTCCGAGGAGCCGGGGTGTGCTGAGAGCTCGGGGGCCGGGGGGCTCTCTGGGGGCCGGGAGTCCGGGGTCTGCGGGGGCTGAGAGCTCGGGGGCCCGGGGGGCGCCGGGGCTTGGGG